ATCACTGAACATGGTAATCAGGAGATCACCTGAGGAGGTAACACAAAGTTGTGTAGGTGCCCAGTCCTGTAGTCTGATCATCTCTGTTTGTCCATTCCTCACTTTATTCACAGTCTTAGCTTTCCTGTCAGAGTACACTAGATCACAATCACCTGTCATTGCTATATCACGTGGCCATTCCCCTGATTTTGTTTTGACTGTCCTTTTGAGTGATCCTTGAATGTTAAAGCATTTAATATCACTGACTTGTCCACTTGTCCAGATTTCTTCTTCACTAAGACAGGCAACATTGCGGAGTTTTTCATACCTAGTATCTATTAAAGTGATAAGTTCTGGTACGTTCAGCAATATTCTTCTGCTTGACTTTTCTAATTTCTCCAGCTTGTTGCCATTTTCTTCTGTTGTGGTAACTAAAAATGTAATAGATCCAAACAACTTATTTATCTGTTCTCTATCTACTGGTTTTGGATTAAACATTGGTATTGATACCTGAACTTTGGGAAGAAGTTTACTGAATTCTCTGTTTCTAGAGCTGTATTCTGTGGTCATGGACACTTCATTCGATTCTTCAATTTCCTTCAGGTTGAGCAGAGTTTGTTCAATAAGGGACTGTATTTGTTTTACTTCTTCTGCATATTTCTTAAGAATGTCAAAGTGTTTTCCTTTAAAATCTTCAATTTCAATTTTTTTAGCATTGATGACATTGTCAATTTCTCTGTGCCAATGTTTTCCATGTTCTGTCCTGCTGTTGTAAGTTTCTCATATTCTCCGTCCAAGTTAGCTATCTGCGTTTCTAGATCTTTTGTGATTTCTTCATATGTTGGAGTAATAATGTTTCCTAATTCCTCTGTGTCTTTTGCGATATCATTTTTCTTTGAGTTGTATAGTTCAGCGAGAACTATGAAATTGTGTCCTTTATGCTGTTGTGATACAGAGCATAAGGAACAAACAGGAATGCCACATTCCTTGCATTTTAATTCACATAATTTGGTTGGATGTGTTGCACACTTTGGATAGATCAAGGTGGATTTTCTTTGTTGGTATGGGAGAATTTTATGTTTATCATATTCATCAGCAATGTGATCTCCAATACAGGGTTTACAAAGGTTGACATGACAGAAATCACAATGCATCTGTACTATAGCTGTCTCACAAAGGTCACATCTGATTATATCCTGGGCACTGAAGCGTGGATCCATGGTTACTTAAGCAAGGTTCTGTAAATATATATTTTTATATGTATCTCATCGCTTGCTTATTGAAATTTTTGTTTTGATCTAAAGTTTTTTTACTGCTCTTATAAACAGATTAATTTAATAAGAATTCCTATATAGGTCTAGTCTTCATTACATCATGACAATTTGATTAAAATGCATGAAAAAGTAGGGTAAATGTTGGAAATACTTTTATGCTTAAGTATCATTCATAGAATGAAATATTATATGCCTTTCCTGATTTTTTTTTTTCCTTTTCTATTTTGACAACCTTCTCAGTGTTGTAGAAAAATATATATTTAAACCGAAAGTAAATTTGCATCAGAAAAGTTTAATTATAGATATTTCCCCGTCGAATGAAACTTACCTCCCTTTTTCACGATCAGATGACAGATGTGGAGTGACAGTTGTCAATTCTCCTGCTTTTCTTTTATTTTAGGACTATTTTGTTTTACATGTCGCAGTACAGCGAAGGTCAATGTACTTACATATAATGTTGGGGTTCTGAAAATAAGTTATCTCTCTTGCACCGTCATCGTCCTTTGTGCCATCGGGAATATATAGTTTTTTCCTGTCTGTTCGCCTGTCTGTCTGTATGTATGATTTTCATGCTAGTATATGTCAATAATTTTAGTTCTAAGACACAGATCTATATTATGAACTCCTTGTCTGATAATAATCTCATTCCATCTGTCGAAAAGGAAATAAGCTAATGCAGATACCAACATGTATTACCCTTTGGCCTTGACATAAGAGTTTGACATACTTTTGGGAAAAAAAATCTCATATATTCACATAATGCGAAAAAAGTAAATACATCAAAAGTATTAAGCATAACTCATTCCGAGAGAAATCTGTCTTAGCTTATATTAAATATATTAATCCTGTGAGCCAGTTACATTTTCAGAACTACAGAAATTCAAAACAAACGTTAGCCTAAGGATAATCCAGAAAGATAGTACTTTAATTGTAATTGCTTATTAGCAACTGTTAAGTGTAAATCTAAATTCATTTTAAATAATACGATTGTCTCTACATTTCAGATAATGAAAAGTATTAGGAGATAAATAAAATTATATTGTTATGCCTCGTTCTTCGTTATCAATATGGATAATAAGTGGATAATTCTCTGATTTTTTTCTCCTTGAACTTGGAAAATGAAATAGATTTGGAAAATATGGACAATCACACTCAGCAGAATTTATAGATGAAAGCAAATTTCAGAATATGTTAGTTTGGTGCAAAAAGTGTTTATTTAAGTTTCTGAGGAATAGCGAAATGGTAAAACTCAGCCTGTGTGAATTTTCCGATTTTTCACCAGTTTGAGTTTCCACTTAAAATTTACCTGGTTTGGAATTCTTTTGTAAAGTTTATATTACACTTTTAGCAGTAAGCTGACGTATTCTGAAATTTGTTTTCATCTGTAAACCTTTCCTGTGTGTGATTTGTCTGTATTTGTTATTTGATAAGTATTTAAAACTAATATTTCAATGTCTATTTCATTTTCCAAGTCTAAGGAGAAAAAATTAAAGAATTTTCCACGTTTCTAAACTTGTTACATGTTGATGACAAAAGTCTCCTCCAAAGAAAAAAATGTTTGTTTCATCTTTCCTTAATATTCTGACACCTATTAGTAAGAACTATCAAATTGCATCAACAGTTTTTATTTGAACAGTTTCTTAACATTGATTTGAAAGTATTCAGCGAATTTTTTTCACGATATTTTTTTTCTTCAAACTAATTTATTATGCTTACACATATTGATGCGAGTTAATGGTGGCATCAACATTTTTTTATATTGACCTTTCATTTGACCCGCACTCCAAATTTTTACTTAGCTTATTTTTTTAAAAAGTCCTCTGGATAATTTTATCATATTTCATGTTCTGATACATATTGGGTATTCAACAAATTTTTGTGACCTTGAACTTTTCAATTGACCCTGATTCCTCTTTTCTCAAATATGTGTGTACCTTTGTTTCAAAGAAACTATTTCAGATATTTCATACGTAAAGTTGTATTCACTGATTCATTTTTTAATCAGAATTCATCAACTTTTGTTTACGATGATTTTTCCAAGACCCTTTACTTTACTCTTTACTGATATTGTTTATTAAACTAAGACTTAAAGAAAATATTCAGGGTTTTCATCACATGTTATAAATACACAATCTCAAATTTTCATGTTGCATTGCTCATGAACATTAGAAGGAACATTTATGTGCTATGAATTTTCCTGTTTACACTAGTATTTTTTGCAATATATAGGTAACCTTGACCAGAGATGAAATTAATTCCAAAACATGTCATTTTATGTAACATATTTATATGATAAAAGTTTTGTGGTGAATTTCTTTTGCAAAGCAGTTCAAAAAAGGATAAAAATTTCATATGCAGGACAATTTATCAAGGATTTGCTTTCTTTAAAATTTGCTACTGAGTGTGCTCAGGGTATTTTTATCTACAAGATAGAAGTTTTGCATGTCTGTGTCTTAATTTTGTCTTCAAGCTTCGATTTAACTTATGAAGGAATCGTCACAAAATGTTTTCAATCCTAATTTCCAAAAGTATGCAAACAAGGTAAAAAGACATGTTTATCAAAAGTGTTGGAGGCCATTTTTAGGGAATTAATGTTTTACAAAACACAATAACACTTTAGCTACTTCGATTCCATTAATATTTGATGAGCCTGCTTTATTATTAATAAGATAATTTGATTTGTTCACCAAACTAGCACAGATATGCAATTCTTAAGAAAGACACTCTCTAGCCTTCTTTTGATGTTATATCTTGGGCCTTATGTTGTGGGTTGAATTCCACTGTGGGATGTGAAGGGGCATGTTCTTTGGATAAGACCGTATAAACCGAGGCCATGCGTTGCAGTAGTTGCTGGCATAAAAAGATCCCTCCCTGCTCATTGGCCCTTAATACTGAGTATAGAACAAAATTTGCAGCTCTCCATCGGCAAGTGTTGGTGTCCCCATATGAATGAAAAATTCTTGAGAGGGATCTAAAATAACATACAATCAATTAAACATCTTAGGCACATTTTCCGGCTGAGTGAATATTAGTCATACTTTTACCAAATAAGTATGAATAGTATGACATTTCTAGATTTGCTTCGATTTGCTTTGATCCACATTTTACAGATGAGTGACTGGGTAATGTTTTTGTACCAGCTCTATAATTAGTCTGGCATGTTATCGTGAAACTTGCATGGATGATGTATCGAAGGATTGACAGGGATCTGTTTGGATGTAGTTCAAGAAATTTCCTTGATAAGTGAATATGTTAAAATGAAATTTGGAATCAGGTCCATTTTCAATAACTTTGAGTCTTAATTCAAAAACAAAGTTGCTTGGTTATTGATCTCGAGATGCACACTAGCTTACTGTACTAGAAAAATATTTGATGTGAGGTTTGCTTAAATTATAGATGTAACATGTGTGGAGATGAACTTTGCAATCTTTGACTACCTATGCTTGTACAAGTTTAATACATGCATGTATACAGTATCAACTTCGTGTTTATCCATGTGTCTGTTCATATCAAATTTTTGTCACAATTTTATCAGCAGCTACTCAATGCAGGTGCTTGAAATTTTACATTGTAGCACACTCTCTCTTTTGGAATGCCATATGGTCAAATTCACTTTAATGTTTAATCTTTAACTTTTCTACACAGAACACTCTATGCATTTCCTAAAGCAACATTTAAGTTTGTGTTGTTTACAGCGCATTTAAATTTTGATAACTATGTATCATGCCTTTCTTTTTTTATTATCAGTATCTAGTGGGTTTGGGAAATGTAGTAGCTAAAGCCACACACATTGTTTGGCCTTTGGAAAAATGGACAAAACTTGGATCCACCACACAAAATTAAGGAGGCTCCATGGTCAAAAAAGGTCTCTTAATTGTGTGAAATATTGAATATTTAAATCATATTTGATTTGTTGTTATTTTATAAGCAGTAAGAATTTAAAAAAATAATATAAATTTTATTAAATAAATCACAATTTTTACAACAGAAAAGGTTAATTTCCTTAAGAAACTCTTCTTTTTGGGATCAAGGATTATTAATAACCTGAAAGTAATGACCATTGGGCTCTCTTGAAATGATCAATGATTTCTTTTACATACATGGGATATTTTAAATAATGTCATCCCCTTTCCTGTATTTTCAGATCTCATTAGGACTTATCACAGTCAAAGCAACACACGTTGTATGGCCCCCGCAGGAAAATCGCAGGAAAACGCAGGAAAACGTTTGGAGTTCATCGAGTCACCACCAGAACGAGTCATCAAAGAATGCCAACGGCTTAATATATATAGACTTCTAAGTTTTAAAATACAAACTATGATTTCACTGATTTTCCTTAATGTTATTTTGTGCGGTAATGTGTGCAAGGTATTTGTAATGTTGATTTATGTGTGTTATGTGAGATGGCAAACATGAATGTGTAGACAAAAAACATGTGTAAAGAGAATTATTATATATTTGTTTTTGTGTGTGAAATTAAAATATTTAAAACTATAACAAATAATTCTCTTGATCTTTTACACACCCTATTTTTTCAAGACAAGACGTATATAATTATAGCTCATTTTATTCAGATTTACTGCATTTGATGCCATAATTTTAGCCTCCATGTTCCAATTAAAGTCTCTACAGTGTATAAGGAATTTTTTTTATGCTTTTCCAATATTTGTCTATCAACATCTATTACTTTTTCACTAAATACCAGTAATATTTCAAAAACTTTAGCTACTTATCTTTACATATGTAAGAAGGATTTAAAGTTTTACACAACATAGATCTGAAACGCTAGGGGAATAGAGTTTGCTGTATAATGTAAGAGAAGTAATCATAGAAATCGTTCTCTAAATAAGATAAATGATAGAAATTAGTATTATTGTATGAATATAAAGAAGGGTTCAATGTTCTAATAAAAGGGCCCATTTGTTGAATGTGTCAAAATCTTAAGAAAGAAAGGGCTGTGATTTATTCATACAAAGTATTAGTATATAAGCACCCACAGGTGAAGACTCGTATGAAACATGAAGATGATGAACAGTTTTAGTCTTATTAGTTCATACAAACAATATTAATGAGGAACAGAACAAATATGGATCTCTTAAAGCATATGAGATGCAACTTTGATGACGGAATTTTTTGTTGCAAAATTGTAAATAAATATTTCAGTGACAGAAAAAAATAACGTTGATAAAATTCTGTTGTTCATATTTGCGAGGGAAGAACTATTTACGAGTATAACCTTCAACTGAATCAAAATTATTGCCGTCCTGTAAAATAATGATTTCTTATATTAAACTATGTATTGCATTGTATATAGAAGTCATTCTTCTGTTTTATTCTAGTTTAATTAAGCATACGTGATAAAGGTTTAAGTTACATACAAATTTATCATAATAACACATTTCAACAGCTAAATAAAATTTTCAAAAATGCAGCTCATATTGCTTTACACATCAGAGATGAAATAAAATGACATTTAGGAGTTTGCACCTCCTTCCACAATTAGTCACATCTACTGTGTGCTTTTGTTGTGATCGGAAAAATGTATTATCAAGGGTCATAAACAATTGAGTGCGTATACAATCTTGCCTAACAATTTTTCCAACATTTGTCTATCAACATCTAACTTTTCTATTAAATCTCAGTAATTCTGAATACTACTAAGCAGAATTTTTAACGAGGATTTAATTTTGGCTCTTTTAGAGAGGGTGTTGAGATCGCTAAAATTAAGTATCGATCTTAAAATCGCTAAAAGCACATCTTGCTAAAAATAAAAAAAAACAAACTTTTAAGGACAAATCTCTAAATCGTTTTACTTATCCAAAGGACAGGTCTCTTCGTGCCACATGAGATTTGAAGCCATCATGTCATGATCAACTTTTAACCCTGCGACTCTAGTGTAGACACTATACCACTTTACCACGCAGGCAATTAGTGCTAAATATAAGCACATAACGGTACATGATGCTATATAAAATCAAAGCATTTTAAAGGGAAAAAATCAGCTAAATGATCCAACATATGGGCATAAAGAAATATTTTTAAGAAGGGACAATAATTCCATTAAAAGTGAAAACCGGCAGATGATAAAATAATTATATCCAATGTATTATTTTTATCTTAACAATGTCATTCCATTGACGCTATACAAATTGCTATGATAATAATATTATCTCTTGATGTTGATGTAGTCTACATTTTCCCCATCTATTCTTATAACTTGAAAGATAAACAACACATTTTAACAATAAAAAAAATTATAATTTAAACTTAAGATAATTTTATTTACAAAATAGAGCCATTATGACAGTATAATGATATACACAAACATATATTTAGTTATATACAAAGATGCCTATTTTAATATTTAATTTTCTTAACCTTTCCTTTCCACTCAGTAACAAATAAATTATTTGTATACACATATAAAACTATGAAACTTACTTTACTTTCTCACAATCAGATAACAGATGTTAAGAGACAGTTGTCTGTTCTCCTGTATTTCGATTCTTTTAATTCATAATTTGTAACATGTCGCGCTCAGTGCAAACTTGTAAACCGTGCTAACCCTCATATTGACATACTTTGCACTCCTAAGTTTTTTGTCAATTTTCTGAAAATAGAGTTATCTATCTTGTCACATTATCATGCTTGATTGTTCCAGGCGTGGATCCATTAATCTTTTCCAAGGGTGGGTGGGGTGGGGGGGGGGTTCCACCCCTGTCAAAAAAGAACCTAGAAATTTCTGTACAGGGAAAAATAAGCTTCGTTCACAATTGTGAAAAACCTATTTCGCAGAATGAGGTAGGGAACGGTGTGGTGGGGGTGGTTGGGGCGCTCACTTTTATCTTAAAATATAGTTACATTTGTATGATTTTTTCATCTTATTTTAACAGGGAGGTCCGTGTTCTTAGTGAGAGGGTTAGGGTTCCAAGGTGTCTTTTAGTCGGTTTAGTATATATACATTGTTCACTTAACAACTCTGAAAATTCAAGAGGTGTCACCCCCCTCTAGAGCCGTTCAAATGCTCACATACACGTGTTTTAATTAGACACAATAACTTCTATATATATAAATGAACACATCATCATGTATTTTAGAACCTCCTCGTCTAATTATGATGTCAATTCATTTGATATCATATATCATTTCATCTAGCTTATAATTAAGGTATTTCACTTCTAAATATTTGATGGGTTCAAAGTGCATTTGTTTTCCTTGAATACATGCATAGTTCAAAGTAAACATAAATCACATTTTTTAAATATATTGGACAAAGATGTAAATACCCCCCCCCCCCCCAAAAAAAAAATAGCGAAAAAATGTATTTCATTTAATACTATTTGATGTATTAAAATTACGTAAAAACTTATTCAAATTCATAATATTCTGATCACTGAAGTTCCAAAAAATGAAGATACAAAGATGTAGTAATTGCTCTTAGCACAACTTTTATACAGATTAATTTATTTACTAAATAAAAAATACTCCTAATTATTTTTTACTACACAATATCTGTCAATCCACTGTAATTGTGCTACTGTAAATTATTGACAATGGAAAGTGTTAATTATAAAGTTTGTACTAATCATACATTTGTCAGTTCATACTTACATGTAGATGGGTAAAGTAAGAGGAGATGAATAAAAATATATCGTAATGCCCGCTAATTATATTGCTTAAGTATATAAAGTGTTTCATGTCCGTATTCTATCCTTTCGGAACACTTTGCGCTTAGATCATAATAAAGAAATTACTTGTATCAACTTGAAGATAATTCAACTAAACTTCACTTGCTTATACATGTACATACTGACGAGAGCTATACAAATGTGTCAACATTTTTGTAACCTAATATTTCCTTTTACATTGATCTCACGTTTCTTTAATTTGTTTTAGCAAAGGGACTTTGCAAGATATTTTTATCAAACTTTATATAACAATTCATTTTGATGGAACAACTAGACTTCATCAAAAATGAATTGACTTTGATCTTTCCTTTGACCTTGACTCAACTTTTCATAAAATTCTGTTTACTAAGTTTCAAAATGCTATTCGTAATATTTTTATCAAACTTTATAAGCTGATACATTTTGATGAGAGCTATTCAATTTCATGATCATCCTTTGATCTTGATTTTTTTCTGTGACCCTGTGTTTTACTTTCTGAAATAATTATTATTTTAATTCTAAAAATACGTAAAATATTCTATCAAACTTCACAACTCATACATACTGAAAACATATTAATCAGAGCTATTCATTATGCACAGATCCAGGAATTTTTTTCAAGGGTGTTAATTTAGAGAATTATTATAATATTGTTCTTAGTATGTGATATTAAAATATTTAAAACTGCTTCTCTTGTTCATTTAAAAAAATCACATTTTCTATAACAAGGCATGTTGTGTATAATAATAGCCCAGTTATACTCAGATGTAGTTCGTTTTTATGCCAGAATTTAAGCTTCAAAAGCTTAAAGAAGTTTTTTTGTCCAATCTTTTTCCAACATTTGTTAATCAACATCTATTACTATTCCATTAAACCTCAGTAATACCGCTATTGGATACATGTAGCCAATATTTACTTACACACTTACTTAATATATTTGCATATGATATGGCCTCATTTTAGAAACTTGGTAAGAGGAGCATGTTCTTGCTCCGAATAAACTCAGAGACCTAAATCCCATATGTAGGTGATAAGGGTACATAGCTACATAAATAAGGGAAGTTGATTGAAATTCTGAAGTCAAGTAGTCAGGTATCCATTAACATCTTTTAATAGTAAAATCACAATATGATTGATTCAAATGTTACCCATGAAAATTCTGACAGGTTGTTGGCCATAATTCGCACATTACATGTAACACGGAAAAATCACAAATTAGTTTTGTGTTGAAAAGTTTCAATGGGGGTTGAAGTTCCTGAGGATAATTCCATATCAATATGGAATTATCAATAACTGCGTTGATTTCTACTTTTTCTATAAACATCCCTCTGTAAAAATATGATCCCCCATTGTATCATTGAGAATTTTTACAAGAAATTCTCCGAAACTTTGATCCCCCATTGTGACCCCGTTCTATCCCCTCACAATTTGTAGAATAACCTTGGGATCTTTTTTCGTGTCAACATCTACTGTGAAACAAGACCTCGATTTACGCATCCAAAGGACTGGTCTTTACGTCACATTGTGAGATTCGAAACCATTACATGTACCTAATGATCAACTCTTTATTCTGTGACTATACAGTAGACACTAGCACTGTGCCACGCAGGCAATTACATGTAGTGATAAATATCAGTGCATACCGGTACGTAATGCTATATAAAATCAAAGCATTTTTAGACAGAAAAAAATCAGCTAAATGATCCAACATTTTCTTTTTTATTGGTAATTTCAAAT